GGCTACGTGCAAGGTATACTCTCTTTGGGAGGAGTCTTTGAGCATGCGTGTTCCTTTGTTTCAGTTATCCAAGTTTTACGACTTTGAAGGTTTAGCAGGTGTGTCAGATCCTTTTTTCTCCCAAATTGATTGATCCTCAGCCACCGCCTTCCATCATATATTTAGGGTTAAGTGTTAGTTTTGGTTGGGAAGAGGAATATAAGTTATAGGTTTGGGGTGGATTATATTTGATGGGGCTTGCCATGACCAGCCGATTGATCGGATCGGGCCCCTCCGACCACCCGTCTAGCCCAGGTAAGGACCAAAGTGGTGTGTTGCAGGGTTGGGACCGCTTTACACCTAGGTTACAACCTTCTCAACCACCAGGATCCTGTTCCCAGACATTACGGGTCGCCACCCACGGCCAACAGGTGGCCCCATTGAGGGACTTTTACCCTCTGCAGGGGGGCAGTCGGCGTATTCTGATGCCCCACCGACCGGGCGGGGGTTTGCCTGAGTTTTAAAAACAGTAACTACAGAAGAGATTTTCCAAGAAGCAGGAAGGCATTTATTGGAAAGTTTAGAGAGAACAGGAGCTATTTCAAGAATGCATTTCTTTAAAAACTATTGCAAAGATACCATCCACTCCACATACTTTAAGAGCAAAGTATTCTCCTTTATCTGCAGATGATGATGTTACCTCAAATTGATTGAAGAGAAGGGAGGTAAAGTACTTATGCTTATTTAACAAACTATTACAGAGCTGCCAGTAGTCATGAGAACCAAACTACATTCTGTCAGCAAAGACTTAGCCTTATTGAGGACACATTTACAAGTATTACTGTAGTATGTGTGCAGAAATTAGTAACCATAAGTTATACTCCTTGTTACAGAACAAGATTCTGAAGTGGTATGAAACAAAAAAAAATACAAGAGCTCACTGTGAACCTTATTTTTGCTGGGCATATTTTGGTCTTGGTTTTCACTTCGTTTACATAATTCAGCAGTAGAATGTTGACATTGTTCCCTGTGTCAAGTTTTAGTTGCACTTTGATACCTTGAAGTAGCAAGAAACTGTCCACTTTGATTTGGTTATCACACATGTATTCTCTATCAACTACATACAATGATAGTAGTTGTCTTTGCTTCTAGCAGACTTCTTTATGCATTGTACGACTTTCTTTGTTCAGCACACATTTTTTAAAATATCCAACTTTTAGACACTTTCTATATGTCTGTCCTTGTGTTGGGCAAGTTCTGTCTATGTAGTGATATCAAGTTACCAACATGTGAGAAAATAATGACAAGAATGTCAGGTGCCACAATATTCTTCAAAATAGTCTGTTCAAAAGGATTCTGGCAGCTAAACCTGGATGAAGAAAGTTCAAAACTGTGTACTTTCTGTAATGGGATTGGTTTAGCTAATAGGTAATTAGCATAAAGAGAGCTATAACTATAGCTCATGGGCAACTTTGAGTCAGTGTATGTAGAATATTATGGCTACTAAGTTTGATCATCATAACAAAATGGTGTTGCCTGACGGAGCTCTGCTGAACACAGAAGAACCTGAAAACATAAAGATTTGGATAAAATGCCTTAAGGAACATGTCAGAATAAAGAAGTTATGAGATGACCAAACACCTGAAGGACAGAAAGAAATCACAAATCTAATTTTAGCCACTGCGAGATGCAAAGCCATTAGGCAGATATTAAAAATTTACTATCCCCCAGGGCACATCTTACAATTTTACAACCTTCAAGTACTGATCCAGATATCATTCAACACAAGCAAAAAGAAACTGGCTACAATATTGGAACAACAGCATGAAGAAGAATGGTTATCAGTTGCTTATGCTTTGTGCACAATCACAGACCCAGAGAGAAAATATGCTCCCATCAAGTGGGAAGCACTAGCTATACAATTTGCATTTGAAAGATTCAATCAGTAAATTTATAGAAAATCTGTGCAAATCCAGACATACCACAAGCCTCTAGTAACAATATTCCAAAAGGCTCTAAATGATTGCAACACTTGAGTGCAACACTTATGGCTCAGAGTTCAAAGATATGACCTGCAGATAAAGCCACATAATAGGAAAGCACATACACACTGCAGATGCACATTCATATGCTAGGCTTATGGACAGAGCAGACATGTTTGAAAAGGACACAGACATTCAAGTTGTTGCTGTATTAAAACATGTACCTATCACTAATACGAAAATGGAAGAAATCCAACTAGACACATTAGCTGACCCTACAATGAAAACACTAAAAATATACATTATCCATGGATGGCCAGCAATGCCAGGTAGAAAATGCACTACAGTTTAATCATCAAACAGAGTTGTTGGTACAACAAAATCTGATACTCAAAGGCAAACATGATCCTTGAGAAGATATACATACTGATCATCAAAATGTGCAAACAACGAGCAAGGATATTGATTTTTTTGACTAGCACAAACAAAAAAATAGATTATATCATCCAGAAATGCAACATCTGCTAAATGTATAGAAATGTGCAACTGAAACAGCCACTCTTGAGCCAGGAAGTAGCCATGCAGCCGGGGCATTGATCTGTGCCTTCACAAAAATAGGAACTATCTCATTCCAGTGAATGCTTACTCCAATCACACAGATATATACCAAATATCATCACAGAACAGTAAAGCTTTGATTAAAGATATGCAACACAGCTTTAGCAGATTTGGAGTTCCACAAGAAGTATTCATGGCCAATGACCAATGCTTCATGTCAGCAGAATACCAACAATTTACAACAAAGTGGAACTTCAAAATCCGATTCTCCTCCTCACATTACTCACAAGTGTGTGTGAAACAAAAGGTGAAAACATTCTACAGAAATGTGAGGATCCATTGGTTAGACTCCTAATCCACTGCAGCATGCCAGGTGGACAGGGATTGTCACCTGCAGAAATGTTGATGGGGAGAAAGCTAAAAAGCAACCTATTCACAACAAATAAACAAAAAATGAGTAATGAGCAGAAAGCAAAAGACCAGGCAAAAATATTACTTTGAGCAATGAGGAGCTCAGGAGCTAAAAGAACTAAACCAAAGGGAAGCTGTTTGTATCTGAGACCTTGTGCATAAAATGAACCAGGCATAATACAAGCAGAAATAGTGCCCAGATCAGTCACTGTTCAAATCAAAAGAGGAACAATCCTTGAATGGAACAGAAAGAACTTTCCTTGAATGGAACAGAAAGAACTTACTAAAAATGAATCAGGCATAATACAAGCAGAAATAATGCCCAGATCAGTCACTGTTCAGATCAAAACAGGAGCAATCCTTCAACGGAACAGAAAGAACTCACTAAAAATAAGTAAACATCATCCAAATGAGGACTCTTGATGACTTCCATTGTCACCAGACATATATTAATGAAAATCAAAATCAACGATTAGTGCCTGAATCAGCACCAGCACACCAAAAAAATCTTCTGAGTAACAGAGCTCAGTAACAACAAAAAACAGATACATCACAATAGAGTTGCAATGTCCAAGTCTTAAGTTAAAACCACTGAAAAGGTTAGACTTAAAAATCAATCTGTGAACTGTTATTTTTTATCTGCAGGTACTGTGTTTCCACGTATGTTACTACACACAGACATGTACATATTTTGTCTCTCTTGTGTGCCTGTTACTAGCCACATATTTATGCTTTGTTATTACAAATATCTGAACTGTCATCTTGAAGGTGAAGATCTAGCATGTGCACAGAAACAAGTAACTATGAGTTACACTCCTTAGACATTCCTGAACAAGATTTTGATGTGGTGTGGAATAAAAAAAGTGAAAGTTTACCGTGGGACATGGACACTGTACACACTTTTTGAACATGCTAATTTGGAATAAGTAACTGTCAATCATATCGCTTATCTTTCACACTGAAACTCCTTATGTGGAAATATTACAATTACAAGCAGACACAAAGAGGAGTTTGTGATTTTGGCTAAAATGTTATGCATGCCTAAACTGCAGAAATGAATTAGATGAAACTTTGCAGATATATGTAAAATGACTGCAAATATAGGTGATGAAAAAACATGGATTTCCACCATTTTATGACAGGTCAAGATTGACATATTTAAATACAGTCCAATTTGGAGCCAAATCACTAGTTTCCACTTTAAAATTAATTTTTTTCTCAAAAACTATTTTTGAAGCACTTACCCGTTTATCCATGTTGAAATTTTCAAATCTTCACAAGATTTTTTCAAAAATCATGGTTAATATCATTTTTGTAAAAATTAACATTTTTCTTGAGAAAATTTAATTTAAAATTTTAATTCTAGATTCTATATTTTTCTGGTTCTCTTAATAATTAAGCAATAGAATGTTTTGTATTTTTCTGTTATTTCCATATTATGAAATTTTATCAAATCAAAAAAGTGTTTCTTGATAGATCAATGAAAATATTGTTTTACTTGAAAATAAATCTTGACAAATGTTAAATTAATTGTAATTTGATATTAATATTATTATATCCATTTATCAATACTTGTTTAATTTTGTAAACTATCTAAGCAACACTTTTTGTGTTATGTGGTTATATTAAACAATGTTAAATTCTATGTTTTGCCAGAAGAATTTACCTTCATTACCAGGTCATCTACTCAAACATACTATGACAAGAACAATTTTGTTGGCATTTCCATGTGTCATCCTGATATATTTTTAGAGGGAGAAAAGAATGTGAGATAGCAAATGCTAGGGAAATGAGTGGACAGGAACCTCAGGCAGTCAGGTTGTTACCTATGGCAAAGTATAATACACACAAATGAATTAGTATTCAGACATATAAGGTACTACCCAAAAGTTGCCTGTTCCAAGGGTCATCACCCGATGAAGGTTTTGTTGGCAGTACAGCACATTTCTCAACAGCATATGTATAAAATGATATTTAATATAGACTTCTGGGAAAGTTCAAATGACAAAAGAAAAAGACCATCGCAATGAATTAATGGAAAGAGAGTAACAAAGAGTTAATATCACTTACTTTTAATTTCTTATTCTTTTTCCAATCACCTTGCTTATGATGCCACATAGAGACTGGTACCTTGATTTTTCTAACTTTCTTTATACAAGAAGGTTCTTCAAAATGGACTTGTTTCTTTTGAGATACTCTTTGAGAGGAGGTAGATGGTTTTGTCTCAGCCTCCAGCTGCCTCAGAGTCACATCTATCATGTCAAGCAACCTGTGTAATGATTTAGATGCATATACATTATATAAATATGTAACCTAAAAGGTATTTTAAAATGTATTAGCAAGCATTCTTGAAGATACTTTGAAGGCAGTGTGAAATTTACACTCACAAATCAATTTTCCTTCTGTAATGTCAGAATCTATTGCTGGTATTTTGTAGATCTAATTTGATAAAAAAATGACAAAAGGAAATTCTATCCTGCTGAATAAAGTTCAATTTTCATCATAGCTTACAGCTTGGTTTCAAATTTCCAGAATTCAATGTTTACAGTTTCATAAATGTTAGAAAGTTTAGTCTTTAAAGTTTGTAGAATATCTAAAGTTTTACAAGTAAGAGAGTGTATTTCAGCTGAGATTAACAAGTGGATGATAATGCCTTTTAGTTGTTGGATGTGGTAATATGATGTTAGCATATTTCCAAAAGTATTCCTTTTAGGAATTTCTTTGCACAATGATAAGATAAAAATATAAAAGAACTGGTTTGGCTTTATTCTCTCACACAGCTTTTATTATGATTTCATTTCCTATTTTAATAGTGTCTGTCACTGCCCCCAACTCCTTGTTTATATCCATGCTACAACTATTGATCTATGGGCATAACAATGATATTAAAAACTTATTGTTCTTGAGATAACAGAAACATCAAAAGAAAAGTTTTAAAGAAGTTTACATTTTGATTTCTATTAAACCTATCCAAAATAATTGAGTAAACTCCAAGGAATATAACTTTATTAGGTTTCTAGTCACATAACCACTGACAAATATATATTTATATATTATTATATGATAGTTGGCTGTGCATTTTCGAATCACTCTTCATTTCATCTGGGAAAAGCTGCTCTGAACATTGCTTGTCACACATACTGCTGAAATGCATTACCCACCACCCAACTGTGCTTACAAACATTGTTTGTAAGCACAGTTGGGTGGTGGGTAATGTAGAAATGTTCACCATGATTCAATGTCAATGGATGCAATTTTGTCTACATGGAAATACCTCTGCATTTTTTTCATTTTTAAAGTGAGGTTGACCCTGTACATGGACCAGGAGCCAATCAAGGTAGAGAGTTTCAGAGAAGAAGCACAGTTTATAAGGATATGTGGGGAAGATAACAGTTAATCCTAGACTTGAACAGGTTAATGGTAGTGATCAGGAAAGCATCCTCTTAAGAGTTGGTTCCACAGGCTTGCAGGAAGAAGCTGCTCGAGTGGAATTTACATCTCACCAAGAGAATACGAAGAGAATGAGGGTGGTTCATAGCATGGCAGGTGTTAGCCATGAAGGTTAGAACTGGTTAAAATAAGGAATGTAGTTCTTCTGAGCTCTTTCCATGAAAATAGTAATAGAGCAATGAGAGGCTTGCAACATTTCGCCTGTGAGAGAGGGGTTGTAGTTTGGAAAATAATTTGTCACCCACAAGGATGTGGAGATACTTTTAGGCTCCAGACTGGAAAGTGTGGACTGGGCAGATCCTGCCCAAATATGGCAGCAGTATTTCATTTTAGGCCTAATCTGGCTCTTGTAAAATTAGAGGATAGAGCACGAGGAGTCAGGTGTAGTACAAGGAACCAACCATTTTTCCAGCAACTTTAGTGATGGATTGTATGTATGAGTTTAAGACCCAATAGTCGCTCAAGGCATGGGGCCTCCCTGCAGGAGCATCTGTTTATCATGTTTGGTGACAGTTCAGTGTCCAATTGGTGATGATGGAATGTAACTAGTTCGGTTTTCAAGGCATTGAATGCGACCAGCCAGTTTTTCCTCCATTGAGATGTTAGAGCTAGGATCAGAGAAGAAACCTGCTGCCAATTTCTGGTCACCTCACTGATTCTGTAAGGAATGGCAGTTAGGACATCAGTAGTGGATAGGGCCAACTGAAACCTGTACTGTTTGTTGCTCAAGAGGTGGTGCTATTTAGGTGACGTTCTTGTTGATTATAGCCTCAAGAATTTTACTTAATGGCACTGAAGAGACTGATGAGCCTATAAAGAGTTGGATGAGTGCTCATGCATATTCTTGACACATTACACAGACTTGGGAAGAATTTCTCTTTCAATCAGCAGTTAAATAATTTCACTAAGACCCGAGATGGTTCTAGATTGATATTCTTAAGCAAAACCACTGGGATTTTGTCTGGGCCAGTGGCTTTTTTAGGATCAAGACTTTTGATAAATCTTGAGATTTCCTAGAAAGTAATAAAAATACTACTGAGATCATACTCAGTGAGACAGGGAAAGTTGGGAAGAGGATAGCCTATGTCTTCTCATGTTAAGTTAGAGGCAAAGATTGAATTGAAGAGATTCGCTTTATCTGACAAGATGACCTCTGAGCCATTTATAATAATGGACACAGATACTTTGCCTTTATTCATAATTTGGTTGGCAATCTTCCAGAACTCTCAGGATCTAAGTTTTGTTTTCAACATTGGCTTGGACAACTGGTGCATAGCTACACTTTCTTGCAGCAATTGCGGATAGTTCTGAATGTAGCAAATGTCCAACTGCTCCTTGTCATAGATATTGAAATAGTGGCTATGGTGAGCTATAACTGCAGTGCACTCAAGGCTGAACAATGGCCATCTGTTCGGTTTTTGTTGGTATTTTGGTGGGAGAATAAAACTCTCCATTCTATAAAGGATTCATTCTGAGACGAGGACAGTAGTTTTAGAGGTAACATATTTGAAGAAGCTTGAGAGAGGAACTTCCACCATGCAAGATCTAAAGCTTTTTCTGTCTGCCTTTGTTTAGAGAAAAATGGAATGGCAAATCAGAGGATGTCTTTAATTTGGCATCAATTTGGACACTGACTAGAGAATTGGTCTGACATGGGGAGAGGGGTAAAACTTTTGCAAAGCATTTTTCAGAGCAGGATGTGAGGAAGAGATCAAAGAGATTCACCTGATGTCCTGTTACATTGATGCAGGAATGTGAGTTCTTCAATTATCTGAGTTAGTTCATAGGTAATGGAGAAGTGTCCGACTTCTTAATCGGATTTGTTTGTGTGGACTAAACATTCTTTGTGGTGAATATTGAAGTTACCACAGATATGAAAGCTGAGGGAAATTCATTGAGGATATTATTAATCCTCTCAGATAGTCAGTCAAAAATTAGTGCTCCATTGTCCTGAGGATGATAGAAAATGAAAATGAATGTGGTACAGTGGATAAGAGCCATGCAGAAGCATGTATACGGGAGATGAGGGTCATTGTTTTTTTCTGTCTCTGTCACAGTGAAACCCATCCTTAATGTAGGCACTGAACCCATGGCAATTTAGGTGGCTATGTTTGGCTATTAGGAGTAAGTATCCCTGGATTGCGAGCTCCTGCAGTGGGACAAATTTATTAATACCTGTTTCAGACAGAAATATGAGGTTGGGTTTAGCCCCAATAATTATATGTACTTTCATGTTAGACACCATTTAGTTAGACTATTTGTAACAAAACAAAATATGGATTATAGGTGGGATGGTTTAACCTTTATTGCCAACATAATAGAAAGCATTACTTTCGGAGTAACCCGTGTGTGTGAGTGAGTGAGAGAGAAACTTTTCATAAAGTGCATATATATCACACTTTCATCCTAGGCAGTAGTACTGGGTAGCGATACTCAGCAGGGTTCAGAGATACCTTGCTCCAAAGTAGAAGTATCAATCCATATGTAAATAACCCGGTCATTTTTGATAGCTTCTATGCTAGTTAACAAAAAGACAAATAATTATACATTTTGTTTAATATGTTGTAAAGATCTCTTAGTGTGTAACCAATTACATAAACATCAATAATGAATGTTTTGCACCCAAAAGAATTCAACTTACTCATCAGTGGTTCGTTTGTTACTATAAGTTTTTAGTAATTCAGTAACTTCTTCAGGTGAAAATTCTTTTGCCTCTGAAGATGGAGAGTCTGGGGTCTTTTCCTCTTCATGTTTTGGAAGCTTAATGGAAATGTTTTCTTTGCTAAATAACAAAAAATGTGAGAAAAATTTCAGAATCACAATAATGATAAAAAGTCCATTTTTTGTTTTCGTAATTTTTGGTATTTTCTAATGAAGAAAGATAGGATATCGACAGCATCATTACATGACAAACTGGCCAAAAAATCTTTGGTAAATGATCCTCAGAAATGATAAATAATCTTCAAATATTTACTGATCTAACTTTGCCAAGAATATATGCTACAATTTATCAACAGTAGAAATAGATCACTCCAATTTTTCATGATTTATACCAGCATTTTTTTGTTAAACAGTAGAACAAATACAGACTCTATTTCTAAACATACTTAAATCTAGATCAGGGATAGACAACCTGCAGCACATTGTATGATGAAATGTAGTTCATTGCATCTCAATGAAGTTTGTTAATCAGTTTACAACTGACATTCATGTATAAGAGTTGTGCTTTATTACTTAAAAATATTTCCAATTTTAACAAAATTATCATAATGCAAAAGAAAATGAACAAAAGAAAAGTACAAAATTATAACAAATGTAAATTCAATGAACAATGGGAAAAAGAGTTATTTATAGCAAATACTTCAGGAAAACTATTGTGCAGTTTATAAATATTATTTTCAAATAAAAGAAATTATTTTAATAACACTATAAAACACAGACTGAAATGAGAGGAAAAGTGTAGCTAGTGCTTGAATCTGAGTTAGAATCTGATTAAGTTAGAAATCTGATTAAGAAAAATGAAAGTACTCTAAATGGGGAGGAAAAAAAATTTTTAATGCAGAAGATATATTGTCTCCAAATATTTCCAAAATTGATGAAAATATTGTATAGAAAACAGTTATGAGATGTACTGAAGAATACACTCATGAAATATCTATGCAACTGAAAGATGTAAAAAATTTAACATAGCATCTGCAAACATCATATGATGTAATTCAAGGGAGGAAAAAAAAAATTTTTTAATGCAGAAGATACTGTTAAGCCTTGTCTCCAAATATTTCCAAGATGTCTTATTGATGAAAATATTGAAAGGAAAGTCATCAAAATTGCTATGGAATATGAGATTTAATAGAAAACATGGTTGTGAGAGTTTGTGATTGAAGAATAAAATACTATTGAAATTTCTATGCAACTGAATTTTCTGTAATGATAAATGGTTATTTTGAACATTTTTATTGTCATTAAATGATTTGAATTTGCATCTGCAAAACATCATTTATTGACATTTTTAATTTATGTGTTTTATAGATAAAATATTTAAGCAAATTGAAGATAAATTTTAAATAAATTTACCTGAGTTCTGAGAAATTTTCATAGAAAATAGTTTAATTGTTGCATCCATGGTCATAAAAACCACTCGGCCACCATGGTTTGGGACAATATTTGATTTAAACTACAAAAGTAAAATAATTAATATCGAATGTAAACCATATATGTTAAGAAATGGACGAGGTACAATTTATTTATTAAAGAATTTTTATTTATGTTTAACGTTGTTATTTTTATAGATACAAGTATTTCAAAATGCTCTGTTTATAAAACAAATAAGGTAAGGTTGTTAGGAAAATAGATTCGTTTGCATCAAAATCGGCCACCATGAACCTTATACATGTTGAATTTACTGTTATAAAAAATAACTGCCTTATTGTAATTTTTAAATGGAAAACTTTTTAAATTTTCAGCCATGTGACCAGTTGTGAAATGACATTTTCTATAAAAAAGGTTTAAACATAAATTGTAGCATTTTTATAAACACTTGTAACAAATACAAAATTATTGGGATGTGAAATCAAAGAATACTGTGGAATATGAGATTTAATATATGGATGTTATTTTTGCCCATTCTTAAATATGGTATAAAATAACAAGTTAAACATAAATTTTTGATTAAATAAATTTTAGAAACTGAAAATACTATTTTATAATTTTTAAATGAGAGAAAAAATAACAGTAAATTCAACCTGTGGCCTTTTTGGTGGCCGAAAGGGTTGTAATGATAAATGGTTATTTAACTGAACGAATATTTTTTTAGTTGATATTCAGGCAGCCATCTAAATGATTTGAATTTGCTTAAATACTTGTATCTATAAAATAACAACGTTAAAATAAACACTTTCCTATCTTTAATGAATAATATGAATGTATTTCTAGAGGGAATTGAAACTGTTTTTTTTCCCAGAAAAATGAAGATTTGAGCCAGTTTCTGAAGAGTGGATGTGTTGAAGAAAATAGCAATTCTACAAAACATTTTGAAAAAGAGATTTGAATGATATTATCAAGATGGTACATGTTAACTTGAGAACTGAAAAATGAAATTTGATGAGCTAGTTTCAATGTTTCTGTCGCTAGTTTTTGCTAATCATCTGTGAACATTTTCCAGAACTCAAAAAATTTGCCATTTCAGAATGACATACAGATGTGAACACGCATTTTTATATTTAAGATTGACAAAAGGCAAAATGATATTGTGATTGATCAAAATTTAATGAATTCTTTGCAATTCTAAGTAACTAACTTCAAATATTAAAAGTTTGGCAAAACCCCAAAAATCAAAAGTTTAATTAAGGGGACTAATGCTTGTCTTGTTTGTATATTAAGTCAAAAATTATATAAAAATACTAAATATATTTATATAAATATGTTCACAAGAATTAATGACAGTATGAGATGTGAATGGAGCATCTGAACTTGTGTGTAAAAAATTGACACATATGAAAATTTTTTTCTGAAATTACTGAAATTTTTCAGTGTTTATTCTATAGTGCTGAGTATACTGTCTGTAATATATATTTAACCATAACTTTTTCCTTGTGCTGCTCTATTATTCAGATTCTTTAAATATAAAACCAAATTGTTTGCCCAATCATACATCTGATTTTTAAATGCTATTTTAGTATATTTTGATGTTTTGTCTAGGCTGTACTTCTTTGTTTTTGTGTCTCTTTTGAAACTTTTATATTGTAATGTCTACTTAAGGTGTAAAAATACAGTATTGCTATTTTATCATCATTATTATTGATATTTTCCATGAAGCCCCACCCATTCTTCTAACTTAGTCTTCTGTAGAATCTTTAAATAGATTTTTATCAAATGTTAAATCCAATAACAATCATAATGGCTCCTATAAATTCTTGTTAATGAATATCCAGTGGTTTTTCATATTTTCCCTTAGTTCACAGCCATATTAAAACCATTTTGTTCTTTTCTAGCAAAAATTGTTTTATTCTTTTATATAGTCTTTAATGAGTATAGGACTAAGCCAACAGAATTATGAAATTTATAAGCAAACCATCAGTAACTATAAAATATAAAAATACAAATGGCTTCTATTAATGATTATCAACAGATAGAATTTTGTTCAATCTATTTACAAATTCCTAAAAATATATGTTCTTCTATAAGTAAATATAGCAACTGATAATTTTTATTTTGAGGTAATTTGAAGAAAAAAGATAAAGGCAACTAAAAAAAAAGAAAAGATAATACTTGTATGGGATCAATATTCAATTAGCCAATGAGTAATGTGAACCTTTTGTAATTTTGAGTTGGTTTATCATCATTCCAAAATTGTTCAAACTACTGAACCACTCTTTGTTTTTGTTGTTTGCAATTTTGTAAGAGTCAAATGTAATTTTGTCAATATTTCAATATTTATTTACATCATCTTCAAAATATTATAAATGGAAGTAAATGGATAATAATTCACAAACCTTTGATTTTGCCCCTTAGATGATTGTGAAGGAACTTAAAAGAAAAAAAAAGAAAAAACAAAATAAGCCAAAAAAGTTTACAAAATTCAACAAAATAAAATAGGAAATACAAATAATATATTCAGTAAAGAATGCCTACTTACAGGTTTTGAGATTCAGATTTTTTTGTGCACAGATTACCAACTTTCTTTAATTATACCATTTTCAATTTCTATCAGAATCCTACCTATTTCAACAATAAATTATTCATACATTTAATAATACTGATACAAGATACATTTTAACATCCCAAATTTTATTCAAACAACTCTTTCTTTGTGTTGTTGATGTTCCAGATGATCTATTTAAATTATACACACCTAATGACAACTGGAGAATGGATCAACCAAAACGTTTTAGGTAATAAAGAATTCAATTGTTTGAATAGAATTTACACTATGAGGAGTGTAGAATCTTGCTGCCTATAAAGGTAAGATAGTTATAGTCATTGCTTAAAGTGACCACTCATCCACTCTGACATTTTATCAAAACACTTGGCAATGAGACAGAGTGTAGTAAAAGTAAATAGCTTTGGCCAGAATTTGAACTCTATTCCATTTTGTTATATCTCCCACGATTCAGCTCTATATACACATATACAGTATTATACACTACATATATATGGACCCATTTCTCCAAATCTGAGAAATGTTTTTGAGTCCTTTCTTGGTCTGACAGACTCTTTCAGTAATCCGTCATATATACATAACCAGTAGATATTTACTCAGCTGAGGTTTATCTGTCTAAATTTCTGGAATGATCATTAATCACATGTGAACTAATGTCATCATCTTTGTCATTATCACAGTCTTTCAGCCATTGTCTAATCTGGCTGATCATGTATGGAAGGAAAACAGTAGTCATCAACACCTGTGGAATGAAGTAAAAATATTAGACAGAGAACAACACTGGAGAATTACTTGAAAGAATTTGCATGTATGCTATGCTAGTCTATGAAGACTTCCTAAGTAAGTCTAGTATAGAAATAAATACAATATGGGAGTTGTTAATGTAACAAGAAACATAAGATCGGAGGGCACTGAAAATATTTCAGGGTTACTTAATGGTTTTGAATGGATATCAGACTCAGGTTCCTCTACTTCTGTAGTGCTCTTTTCCACAAGAGTATCTTGTTCTCTAATTATTGGTTTTATCTGATCATGTTTGTTTCCAACAGGATCCAAATCATGTAGTAGACTCACGTCCATCATTAAATCTTACATGGACATATTGGGGATTGGTTTCTGAGATTCTCATCAACAAAAGGTTTATACTTATTTGGACATTAGGATGTAAAGAACCAAGCCAGCCAAGTGAATGACCACTAGGTGCTTCCAGATAATTCCATTGTTCATTGTAGTACAGAGTATAGAGATCTTATGACCATTCAGGTAGAACCTTTGAGGGGATTTTAATTCCATTGGGCTCACACTGACCATTCTCTTGGGGGTTGCAATGAGGTGTTCGACTCATAGCTATAACCAAATTAGTGAAGTACTCATGCAGTTTTTTAGATAGAACAAGAGAGGAGAAAAGAATAGCCCTGGTCAGTCAGAGTGGATGTAGGAAGGAGTCCCAAACATGGTGAAAATCTGAGTTAAGCATTTACTTACTACACTAATATTGGGGCAAGCAAAAGCAAACTGAGAGTACTCATCTATTTTCATTAACATACAATGATTCTGCAAGTGAGAAGGAAGAGGTCCCTTAAAAGCTATGCTGATCCTTTCCATTGGCTGTGTAGCCTTTACCAGGCAAACTTTTCCAAGTTTGCAGAAATGTGGTTTCCATCTTGTGCAAACGAGGTATTGTATGTTTTTACATCTTCCATAGAGTAAGGTAGATTCCAGACTTTGACAAAGTGGGCTAACCTGGCTATATCAGGCTGACAAAGATGATCATGAAGCTCATATAACTTTTCTCTGTATAGGATAGTACCACAATGAGCTGATGAGAGTGTGTCAGCAGGTATATTATCCTTCCTTGGCCTATAAGTAACTTCATAATTATAATTCCCCAGTTCCATTCTCCATCTCTGGATCTTATCGCTTTTAATTTTTCCCGGTCTCTCAATATTAAACACGAAGTTCACTACCTGCTGGTCTGTAATGGCAAAATATCAACCAGATAAGTAGTGAGACCACCTTTTTACAGCTTCTATAATAGCTGAAGCCTCCTTTTCTATCAAAGCATACTTTCGTTCAGTTAGCGTTAGTGATCGTGAGAAGAAAGCCACTGGATGGCCGGCCTGATTCAAAGCAGCAGTAATTGCTGTATCATAAGCATCTATCTTGACTACTAGGGGAACGTTTTCTTCAATAACATGATGTAAGGCACATTCGATTAATTTTTTGGACTGCTTTCATGACTTGCAATTTAAAGGGAACAAGTCAGCCATAATTAAAAGTTTGATATCCATTAGGAATAAAAAAACCAAAAAAAACCAAGGACATTTTGAAGGACAGCTTTATCTTTAGGGATAGTTAATTCTTTAAGTGGGTGTAGTCAGTCAGCATCAGGTTTAAGTATCCCATGAAATATGGTATAGCTAAGAAATTTAATAGAAGTGGTTAATAGGGAGGACTTTTTTTCATTGAAAGTAAGATTATGCAGTTTGACTACCTTGTGAAATCTTTATTGTGCTCCTCTTGAGTCTTGCCTGCTACAACCATGTGATCTACATAAGCATATGTTGTGCAAGTTATTCCTTGTCTATTATACATTGGAAGCAAGACACCCCATTATTGACTCCAAATGGAATATGACAAAACTTGTATAATTTACCATTAGCTTCATATGCGGTGTAGGGTTTGTCTTCTCCTCAAATGGGTACTTGGTGATATGTGCTCTTCAAATCCAAAGAAGGATAAATTTTATATTTAAGGATTTCCGAAGCCAGATTGTCCAGTTGTGGTAGGGAGTAAGCACCAAGTCAAGTGAATCTATTAATAGTTCTGCTATAATCCACAACTAATCTTTTTTTATGCTGTTTGTTATCAACAATTAAAATTTGAGCTTGCCAAGAAGATGGGCTTTCCTCAATTAACCTCAATTTTAATAAAGTGTTTATTGGCAGTTCCAAATCACCTAGATTTTGTAGAAATAGGTTTGCAAAGTTAGGATCAAGATTTCAAAAAATAATGGATTTAAATACTTACTACAACAGTTGAACTCAAAATAGATACACTTTTTTGGATCAAAAAAAAGATACACTAGAATGTTGGTTCATAAAGTCTTTTTGAGAATTACATCACTACAAAGATTGGAAAGGACACAAAGTATAACATTCAAATACCACACACCTAATAAATTTAAATTGATGGTGCACTGCCCTTTTATTGAAGCATTAAGGGATGATGAAGCCATAGACACATTCTCGACTGCAGGTTTTATTTTTATCTGGTGTCTTTTGCTCACAGCCAAAAGAAATAAAGGATCTAGAGCTACCAGCGTCCATTAGAGCAGTCACCTCATTTTTGCCAATCAATATGCCCATCTTAATAAACTAGGTAGTGTAGTGGTCGTCAATGTATAAGATTGAGTAAGTGATGTGGCCAAAGTACCAATGGACTTTTAAACATACTTTGGAAAAGTTTATTTTTTCTGCATTTGTGACATTGTGCAGCATTAACTGCTTTAAAACATTTTTCTGATGACTGTAGTTGTGATCCACCATAAAAATAATATTTAGTCTTTGTTAAGGCACATTGCTACATAACATGTCTGACAAATGAATTTTGTTTTCAAATGATGCTATGGTTCCCACAATTGATGAGAGCAGATGTGAATATGATTCAGAGTTTTTTTAGACATAGGTATAAAGCTCTGTCTTATTAATTTGTCTTGTAGATCATGTATTTTGTTTTCATAAAAGATACTCAATTACCAATAATTGAAAAGTCACTGAGGGTGAGTTAAGAGATACATCTAATCTCAAATGTTTCACTGTCCTTCAATCTACAAATATGAATAACCATTTTAAAAGAGCATTCTTTTGGCTAGTAGTTGTAACCCCTGGAACAGAAGAATCAAATAAGGGAAATTAATGCTTTGACAGATAAAGTTGCTAGAAATGCCTGGCAAAATTCCAAACAGTTTGTGGGATGAAGAAGGAGAAAAAGCAAAGGCTACAAAAGTGGTAACCACAGTACAAAAAAGAAGAATGTGGGTGCATTCAAGTATGAAAAACAGCAACAGCACTCATTAGCAAATAGATCAGGTTTAAGGATCCAAGTTCTCCACTAAGGATTGTCTTATGGTTTAAAGTGTTGGTTTGCAAATTTGGTGACATAGTAATTGTGAGTTCAAACTCTGGGCTGAGCAGAGTGTACTTGGACACTGTGGAAAATGGAGTGAGCAATAACTGAGCAGTACTAAATAAGAACTAGATGAGTTATCCTTAGACATGGTCGGTGGAACAAGAACAATCTGTCACCATAAGTTCAGCTTAAGATAGTTTCTGGTTCAGTTTGAAAAACACCTAATGAAATATGATAATAACAACAAAGATGAGGCCAACAGTCAGCTAAGGTCTGTTTGGGACAAGGTTAAAATAACTGAACACTGGTGATGGTTTCAAAGACTAACCCATTAATCACTATAGCTGGTACATAACACACAGAAAAGTAGTAGTAGTAAGTTCTGCTCACTGTTTCTTCCATTAATGAATCTGATTATGTTGGTTTTATGTGATTTTAACCTAATTATAACCAAAGGGAAAAAAGATTTGAATCCCTTAAAGTGATCATTAGATTTAAGTAATTATCTTAGCTGTAAGTCACAAAATGTTTGAGGTAAAGGTTGACCAAATAGGTGTATAGAATTTGTGTTACCTATGCTTACTTTTTTATTTATAGTAAAAAAATCAATAAAAACACGTCCCATAATCTTTCTAAGAAACCAAATGAAAGGTTGATAAAATATTAGTTTGTGTATTAGTTGAAATGTAATGAAAGTATGTACCTTCTTTAGTATCATTAGAAACATTTTTCATAGGCCAATGTGCAATATGCCTGTGTAAAACCTTAGATGTACCTGTCTCTTTTTCATTCTTTTGCATCTTATGATTGTCATTCTTAGCTGTAATTTCATCTAAAGAGATAGTAACTGGCCGTGGTCTTAACTCAGACAAATCCATTTGCAGTAAAGAAGAATTAATGTTTGTATCTTTATCCTCTTGCGGCAGTGGTTCTGGTAATATGACTGGTGGTGGTGGTTCTGGTGAAGTGACTGGAAGTGATGACGGTAGCTCAATGGATGATGACAGTATGGAGAAAGTCAAATTGTGAAAGTCATTATCTGCTTTAACAGGACCAACCAATAAATCTGTTATATATGTAAAAAAAAATAATAAAAATAAATGTGACTTTCAATTAAATTACTATTCTTTTCGGCAAGTCAACAATACCTACATACACAAAAATTAAAAACATGAAAAATTACATTAAATTTTTGCAAATACAGATGAAAAAAGAAAAGTGTTATATTTCAACATATATGAAAGAAATCTAAAATTAAAGAATTGATTTCTTTTTACAGGGTACCATCAATAGGATAACAACAATCAATTATTGCATGTGAGCATGAATGTATTGCTTTTGGAAATCAAATAAAATTGATTAAAAAGGATAATGAAGTGATTTTTATATTATTCATGTCTACTGACATTATTCTTAAGTACATTGATTGAAATCAGTTATGGCTCTGCTAGGAGAACAAAGACTTTTTGATTTCTATATCCTGACCTATAAATATCAGGTTTTACGGTCAGATTCTTTTTTTAAACTACAGTCCTTCTCAGTTCTTCCCAATCCCTGAGCTGTATAGTTAGAACCTTCAATATTTTGTCCCTGTTTTAATAATACTAACATATTGTAGTATTTTTATGTTTCTTCTGGAAAAAATCCGGTAAATATAGTATATTCATATTGAAGAACAATTCTATATTTTTACAAAAAACAATAAAATGGTTAAATGTGAATTTACTTTACAATTGCAACATACCATGTTCTGGTGCCAGTGTTTTAGAGTTTTCAGAATTCTTGAAATCTTGCCATGCAGCTTTAACACTGCCATTTTCATTTGAAGTTTCACTGTAAAATAAAATAATGTAATATAAATTATGGCATTAAATCCCTAAGGGAGATTGACAGAAGGCTTTCCATTAGAAATACATAAGATGGACAACAGCCATGATAACTGAAGGGAAATTAGCATGAATGATAAATTATGGATATTCAATAAGATTAAATGAATTGCCAAAGGCATTTAATTATAATAAAATGAATTAATACCCGAATTTGAATTTGTGAATTAATGGGAGGATTGAGTGAAACAAGGATCATCCACCCTTTGCAGTTAGAAAAATGAAAATGGAGATAAACTAGCTTACACTAAACTAGAATGGATCTTGGTTGAAATTCAAACTTGGAATTTGTAGTTTTATAAACCCATTAACTCTTTTTATTTTAATTGTATATTAGCTGAGGTCAATTTAGTTGATAATAGGATGAAGTTATCAAAACCATTCCTTGTTATTATTCAAACATGCAAATCAACTTGGATCCTGAGACTTGAAAGGAACCTATTCTTCATAAAAACAGTTAAAAAGGAGAGAGAGAGAAAAATTATTGCCTGTGTTCTGCAGTCAAAAAGGGAGAGAATCTTTGTTCTCCTAAGTTCCAACCACCTTTGACTAGCTATTCACTCAGCTAGACCATTTGGCTTTGCACATCTAGAAGGAATGTAGATGTTATATCTGGTTAATTTGTAATATTTGAGTGATAATGAATTCATCCTTTAAAAGGTCAAATATTTGTGTATAGAATTGTGAACAGAGATAAGATTAGCGGCAAGATTCAGGTCATTAATACTTTATAATAAAGTCTTTCAGCAGTCAGAAATGGAAAAGGTAAAGTAAATGAAGTTTAACAATAAGGTAGAGTGACATTCAGGATGCTTGGCTCAACATCCAAATTTTACAGTAGTGCTGTGGAAGAATAAATCATTGGACCTTTTATTAACATATACAGATGAAGTGAGGAAACAATTTCACTAGATCAATAATCACAACATAGATGAGAAGATCTCTGGTCAAATTCAACATGTACCCTGAAGCAACCCACCAGATGGAGATTGGTATACAAATAGATAATCTTTCCAATCTTTATGCAAATAGATTTCTATTAGATTGACATCATTTATTTCAATGCATGAGGCATAGAAGACTGGCTCTATGACAGTAAGCAGACAGATTTTTAAGGAATATAAATTGGCACATATGTTAGGAAGATTGTTTTTTTTTTTAGGGACATGAATAGTTTATTCCAATACATTCCAATTACTGCTTCTGAACTTGAATGTATTGGTTTTGGAAATTAAAGAAGACGTACAAAGGCAGAGGGAACAGAATAGGTGGCAAATAGTTTCCACTCAAAGAAGATTCACATCAAAGGGAATATTTTTTTGCCATGTTCTTATTGAAAACTGCCTCTTGATAGAGAATAAAAAGTTGTCAACAACTTTTTCATTTAAATTAATGAAATCTTTTTCTTTTTAGACTAGTATACCATAGCAATACTCACCAATTGGCAGCATTTTGAAAGCTGGGAAGATTTTTGATACCTTCCATGAGTTGATCAATATCATCTTGATTGCCTAGAAATGCTTGATCATGAAAAACTTCTGTAAGAATATAACAACATTGAATAAAAACACATTGGACACCATCAGAAATTCAAAGAGGTCAAAGGTTGGTTTTAACTAATATGTTGATATATCATTTTAAAATTAAATAATAAAATTATTAGGCTGAGTTATAAATAATTTCTGCTTGATTAGTAATTAGGATAATACATTCATCATTACAATTGGTTCCCAAAACAGAAATGACTTATGACTCAACCTAAGAGATATAATTAAAATATATTAAGTATTGAACTTCTATGTCAGAAGAGGGGAAAACTGAATAAGCAAGTAAAATTGTCAGCCTAGCAATAACATCTTTGGATTGATTTATTTGTAATAAATGTGATCACAGAATAAATTCTACTTTAATGTCATTGGAAAGAGACACAATTTCAAGGTTTTTTTTTTTTTTAATTTTTTATATATTCTGCAGCATACACAAGACATCTTTTTCACATGATTTAACATGTAATTTATCAATAACTTGTCAGTGAAAGCAACACAATGGCATGCTTTATGCAATGTTTGTTATTTGTCAGATAAAAAAAAACAAAACCATGTTTGGTTTTATTCATTTCTTTATTCTGCTATTAAAATAAATGTAATGGCAGAATATGTGAAAACAAGATTTTTGAAAGGTGTATAAAAAAAATATGTTGGGGTAAACTGCTTTTATGGCTGATGCATCTGATAATTATTTTGCCTCTAAGTGGCTGAATTCAGCATAAAAAGGTAACGAAAACAGATTTTAATGAATCCATTTTTTGTTTATGTAAAATAATAAAAATATTAAATGATTATCTGGATCATATGTCAAGACCAAAAAGATTAGGAGATTTTTAATCATGGGAAAAAACTAATGATGTAGTTGGTTGATGTAGTAGGTGAATTTCCAGTTGTGGGTAGGGGTCAGTGGAAATGTAAGATCTAGGGTACTGTTTAGAGGCAAATTCAGCATCATAGCAAGGGGTTTCAGTTTATTGTTAATTGTGGGTGTAGGTGTTGACTTAATACAATCCTGATGATGCTGAAAAACACATTCATCCCATAGTCGAATTACAAAGGGGAAATAGTTCAACTTTTCCCACATTATGACTGGCTGATCACTTGGGTCCAGAACTAAAGAATGTGCCATCTTAGCCAAGTAAACACATCTTAGTAGATTTTGTCATTGTGGAGCTTCTGGTTATCTAAAGCTGTTGTACTTGAAGAAATAGCAGGTTTCATGTTGCCCACATTGGTACACAAATGTCATTTCTTTAGCAATTCTGTGGGTGTAATTCTTGTAATAGAATATGGCACTATGTGATAGGTGAGCAGAAAGTGGGAGCAATGGCATAGCATGGGGCCAGAGGGGGCAATTACTACAGGCACTAAATTTCTAAGGGTGCAAAAAAAATAAATTTTGGATAAAAAATTATAAAATGGCAAAAAATTTATAAAGTAATATAAAACTACACCCTGGAGTTTTCTGTTTTATTACAATAATATAGGAGGTGGCTGCTGAAGAGGTACAGGGCGCTTAAAAAGCCCATGCCCATTTATTTTACTGGTAATTAAGTTGTGTTACATAACATCCCATTTTGGCACATACTAGTGACATAAGTTACAGAGAACACTAAAAGTATTTTTTATGAGGATGAACATGGCTGACTGAGAGAAGATGATAAATGTGCCCTTTTTCTTATATCTTGTCTATTTTTAACCTATACTTAATAGATATATATATCCATAGACATAAAAATGATCTGTTAATATCATAACACCAAACTGTATTGTGCTAATTAGCAAAGTTAGATCAACATGTATTGTAAAATCTCATTTTTAAAATCTGTTTCCTCAACACGAAATCAGCTTGAAGATCCTCGTCAAAAAATTTCTAAATACTCTACATTCTTTCTATAATTCACTCCAAAAATCATCCTGGATCTGCACTTGCTTAATTATTATTAACTATATAACTGAAATATACTATTTATTAGATGTGTATGTACATTTTTTGAGAATTTATCTTGGCCATGATATCTAAAAGAAAGGAATCTTGTGCACAGGGCAGGAAAAGGTGAAAAACAAAAGAACAATTGCCTAACCCTGGCTGGAAGTCTTGACAGATTCACTGTGAACATTGCTGATATATATCATTATATAATGACAGCAATATGTTGGAAGTGTATATTTTACTGTTACTCCTGCAGTTATTATATTGCAGTGGGGTGTTTTTCAAATATTTAATAACCTACATTTTAACACTTTCATGCACATATACATGAATACATATATACATAATAATATCTGGTTTTGCTGTTTAAGAAGTATATTGTACAGTATTGATACGTTTCTTACTGGTATACATTATTACACTTTTAGTACATTGTATACACCCAGCTGTTTTTTGTATTTAGTTATACTAGTTTAACCATCTGTACCTGTGTAATACTATTCTATATTAATACAGAGACAAGGTTAACATATGTGCTACAGCCAGAAATTTAGCTACAAGTTGTATTAAGCAGAGAAAATAACAATATAAATTAATAGCAATATTTTTCTCCAATACTACTAATCATTGTATTTTATAGATTTGTTAAAAATCAACTGAAATGGGTTTTTTTTCAGTATGTGTATATAGTTTTGCAGAGATATAAATCACTATTTAAAACTGAATATAATGTTGCATTACTAAAATGTATAAATTCTTTCTAAGTTGTGGAGGTTTATCACAGAACTTCTACAAGTCCTGCTAGTAAATGGAGAAAAATACTTCAGCTGATATTCTTTTGGATGTAATAATTTTTCATTCTTCTCTCTTTGAAGTTTACATTACCTTCTTCCTGTTCCTCATCTTGGCTATTTTCACATTCTATCTTTTCTGTTAGAAATTCAAGTAATCCAGTTAATATCTCTAGCAAATTGGCCACTGATGTCCTGTCACCTTCAATGATGTCCTTGCCAGTGATGTGAGATAGAGAAGTATGAAGGATCTTGTTTGCCAAGGTATCAATAACAATTTGGCAGTTGTGAATTTCATCCTGTTTGGTTTGTGGATTTGGCAATAGTTCTGTTGAAGTAAAAATAAGGAAATTGACAAAAATGTACAACATTTGCAGCCAGAAAAAACATTATTTCATGACAGAGAAATAATCAATTGTAATCATTTCACTTATTGTACTTAGGTCATATTTAACCTACATCTATAAATTTGGTGCATAAGTATGAGTGATATGTATAATGGAGAAGAGGTATTCAATAAAAATCATTGGATATAATTTTAATTCATATTTCACTCAGATATATGAAGAATGCTTGAAAATATAGAAATAGGCATAGATCTACCAGAATTAAAACTTTGTGGAAACTGTAAAATTTGAATTCTAGTTAATTTATGCTTATCTTATTTTTCAGATATCCTGTGATGCAACAGTATATTTTCATCTTTTTTTTTTTTTTTATTAATTTCCATTTATCTCATGTTTCAAATAGCAAATATTATTTTCTATAAATATCAAGCTAGAACAAAAGTCTGTAGTATTTTTTAAGTGAATTTCAAAGACAATATTTATATACTTGTACATAGATTTGTTCCACTACATTTTACCATCTTTGCAGCAGTTTCATGATTCCATCCTCTCAGATCTTACCATCTTTCTGGGTGATGAACGGTCTAAGTATTTTTCACAGGCTTCTAGAGATTTGAAGGTCTTCCCATTAAGAGAATTTTATAGGGAACAAAATAAGTGATAATTGGAAGCTGCAAAGTCAGGTAATTACAGCAAATCTGTGCTAATTTCTACTGGGTTTTCAAAAAGACATTTGAGTTATCACTTTTCTGATTGGCTAATTCTAGATGCTTTTCATTGGTCTATCTGGGAACAGTACTTGTTTGAATTCAATTTCAGATTTTGTGGAAGGAACTAATACATAATCCCTTCCCAATCCAACCAGATACATAGCATAACTGTCTCTAGGTACATACTAGCTTTTGGAGTGGTGGTTCATTTAATTTTCTCCAGAACCTTCTTTGCTGTTGTAAACAATCCAGTTTTCATTACCTGTGATAATTCTTTAAAAAAAATGGGTCATTTTTGTTGCATTTGAGTAGAGAATTGCAGATGAAAATGCAGTCCAATGTTTTTTGTTAAATTGTGAGGCACTGAAAAATTATAGTGATTTACATATCCAAGTGTTTTCACACATCTTACAATGCACATATGAGATATGTAGACTACTTCTGTGATGTCATGTGATTTTGATTATTTTTAATTAGCATTTTGCATTGCTCATCCTTAATAACTGCTCTTGGTTTTCCAGTTCAAAATTTCCATTTTTGAAACTAGCAAAAATGCTTACAAACAGTACTCTCAGCTATGGCACCATCTCCATAAACAGTACATATCTTTTTTGTTGTTTGTACAGCATTTTTTCATTTTTCCAGAAATAAAAGAGTATCAAATGATGGAAATGTATTTTATTTTCCTTCATATTCACTTTTCACATGAAATCATTTAAAATGTACAATCCATACATGAATCATATTCAAAGACATGCTGAAATATCACTCTAAGGAATATGTATATATGTCATAAATTTCAGTCACATATAAAACAAAATCATGTGTTAAACCAATACAAATTGAAAAAAAAAAGATCATTTCATCAAATACTGAACCAATAAATGCAAAACAAATAAAAATACTATTTAAAACATGGTTTCACACTATTTCATAGTTGTGTGTAGAGTAAAAAGGATGTTGTTTAACTTTTGTGGGCTTTCAGCCTAAGACTTATCTTTTGCTCTGTCATTACCAGCTTCAACATTTGATGGTTCTATAAATTCTTCAATATGTTAGGGGAGCACATATCTGTTCTCCTTCTCATTCTCCATTGTAATGTATAGTATGCATCAGGTGGTTTCATCTAAACCTTCACCTTTTTAGACAGGACATTCCCCCTCTTCTTTGGCAGGTCACCAGGACAACTCTTGGATGCTTTTGATTCAATCAGCAATATGTAACCCTCACTTTAAGTTTCAGTCTAGAGCTAAGTAATGAAACTATGGCATGTTGAATGAGCGTTTTACAAAAATAGATTTAAAAACGGCATACCACCAAATACCAATAGACGATAACTTCAAAAAGTAACCACGATAAATACGCCAATAGGGTTACTAAGATGGAAAAGAATGCCATACGGAATAAAAACCACAAGCGCCATATTTCAAAGGGAGATTGAACAGCTTTTAGAAAATATGGAAAATATGATTTGTTACCAAGACGATATATGCATAGGAGCTACTAATGAAAATGAATTAAAAAAGAAAACCGACATTATCTTGAATAGATAAAGAAATGCTGGAATGACAATAAACGAAAAAATGCGTAAGCAATTGTAGTAAAAGATCTTTTTAGGTTATTCCATTTCAAAAGAAGGTATATCACCAGACCAGGCCTTGATAAAAAAAATACTAAAAGTAGCTACACCTACAAATAAAAAAAGAAACTGGAGTCTTTTTTTGGGATTGGTGAATTTTTACAGGTGATATTTACCAAAATATACGGACTTGACTGAACCATTTGCAAATTTAAGAAAAAAGAATGTTGAATTTATTTGGTCAGAGGAACAAAAAAAAGTTTTTTGATAAATTAAAAGTAATTATGGCAAAGAAACCAGTAGTGAAAATGTTTGATCCCAAAAAGGACATTACGTTAAAAGATGCAAGCTTTAATGGGAACAAATTAGAGCTCCGCTAACAATGACATATTCCACAAATGAAAAAAATGGTACAAAAAGAACAAAAGCAAATCCGGAAAGGGCAGAATTTATCATGCAAAAAGGACAATACAGCTATAATAAATAGAGAAAACGGCAACAGTGTATTAGCCCAAAATGAAGGAAGGGTGAATATGAAGAGCGAAATGATGAAATGTTGATGATTCCGTCCGTTAATGATTAATGATTTATTAGAACAACCGTTACAGAATGAAACATCAGAAGACAAAAATAATGCAGGATCAAGTTGGGTCAGAATGAGTTTGAAAGTTCGGACGAAGATCAAATAATGCAAGATGCCTATGATTACAGCTTAGCACGGGACAGATCTAGGTCTCCCAGAGAAAGAAATTATGGGAGAGACAGAAGTAGAGCAAAGTAATGAAACTATCACGAGAAGAAGTACAAGAACTACTAGAGGTATAAAACCTATACATTTCAGGGAGATGTAGTGATACTGGCAAATTAATATGCCTAATTTGCATAAGTGCAAAGAATAACTGGTCACTGAGAATAAAGGGGGGAAAAAGAAAAGACAAGCTTAGGGTCTGACTAGTGCTATACTTCGAACTTCACAACAGTCATTATTATTAAGTTGAAAGATCAAAGAATATTTTTTATGTAAAAATTATTTTTTTTAAGACTGTCGAACGTATAAATACTTTTGATGAGATTTTATAAACTCCTGGTACATTTGACCCGCTAACAATATTTGATGGTCTCATGTAAGTCTGAAGGAAAAAATACGACATAGAATTTTGAACAAAGAAATATTAACAAATATATTGACAGGACATTTTTTAAAAAAGAAAAGATGAAATGAAATGAAATGTGAAAAGTTCAAAGCAACATTCAGTGCCTGGAGTTGATTACTCACATTTTGCAGGAAAAAAAAAAGAATACGCCTTTTCTCTATGAAAAGTCACCGAGAAAAAGGTTGATTTATTCAAATCTCGTGCTGCCTGTAATTATTGTTGAAATCTTAGCTAAAATCTTGTTTTTTCCAGCGTCAACGTGGGATCATAAATTTGTACATGAAATTTGAGCGTCTTTTGCGGCGAATCCGTGCAGAATTTAAACAACATTTTTTTTTTTTTTTTGGTCAAACGAGATCTGCAGTTATAGAAAATCTACTCTGAATTGTACAGTAAAGATGCCCTAAAAACTAAGACATTATTTAATTAAAAAGATTTTTATTTGCTTTTATAAAAAAGATATATTAAGGATAGTATTTTCTTAAGAAAAGAATCATTTTTTCTCAATAAATAATGAATTTTTTACACGAATTGTTTTCCTTTTTTTTTAATTTTAATTAGAATTATAAAGTTTTAAATCTTTTAAAATTATGGATTAATTTATAGCGGTCAAGTGATTTTTGCTATTAAAAAAAACTATATTTTCTAAATATAAGTGGAAAAAGATTACGTTCAGCGAGCCCCAGTATTTTATAAAAAATTTTTTTGAATTTTTTTTTCTGTGTGTATAAAAAATTTTGATCTGTGAATACGGATGTCCATACACGACATTATCAGAAAATAAAATGGTAATTATAGTAAATTTTAAATTGATTGGTAATTTTCTAACATTTCCTCAACTCCCTCTTGAAAGTAAGACTATAAAGCCAAAGTACCTAAAATTCAATAAAATATTAGATTGCTTATAATATTTAAAATTTTAAATATTAGAGTAATTAAAAATATGTATATAAAAAGTCGTTTACGTAGTATTCATCATATAATTTTATATCTATTACTTACTCCTTAAATAAATAAACCAAACTTCAGGCTGTCGATAAATGTGTCAACACCTCATAAAAAATACAAAGGTCCGTGATAAAAATGCGTTTCTGTGACATTTTAAACTAAAAGTAATATTTATATTAATTTTCAAGTTAATTAAACTTTAAATCTGCGAATTTTTCTCAAATAACGTTTCAGGAAAATATATTTTTTTTTTTGAAAGATTTTTAATAAAAGAGAATTATGGTGTGTTGACACATTTTTCAATATGGACGATTTTATCGATTTTACTGATAGTCAAAAGTGTGACCCAGTCGATCGGTGGTCGTCGCTACCCAGCAGGATCTTTTGGTTAGGGTACTAAATGGGATGGTGAAACCAATTCTAACGGCTTTAAACCAGATGCATCCGGTTCGAAACCAACTCAGCTCACTTAACAATGGCTGGTTAACGAAGTAACTACTTCGATCTCAAGTCTAACCAACCCACGTTGTGATTTGATCTTAGAATAGACGAGATCAATCGGCCATCGGAACCGTAGTTAAGATGAGGCTAAACTGAAGGTGATGTCACAAGTGTAACAAAAAAACTAAATAAAGACCAAAAAGATTCGGTTATGTTGAAAGGAAGCAAATCAACTTTTATCAATCTGTTCTATACAGGAGTATGTGTTTTCCCAACCCGTTTCTTGGAGACAGACACTTTATACCTCTGGAAAGTTCTGGTTTCTAAGTCAACTGGTTTAGTTTTTATGTGCTGGCTGAGTCAATATAACTTGCTGTTGATGTAGGAAGGTAAAAGTCGAAGATAGGAAGTCGTGGAATCTCTCGGTGGCTTCTGTGAGGCAACTCTGACTTACTGGAACTCACTGGAACTCTACTGTAACTGACTGGCAAACCGAGGGCGGCCGTTTATATGGACATCGACCAAAAACCGGTGCGGGGTTAGACACAGCCCAGGGTTCTTGGTAATTCCCGATTTCTGACAAGAAACCTTTTTGTAATGCCGGCCAGGAAAATTGATTATTTCCCATTTTAGAAGATTAATCACTTTCATTTTTTTTTTTTTTTTTTTTTTTTTGGAGGTTGACACGAGTTATCCTCCTAAACTCCTCCTTCATACATTGGTACCTCATACCAAATTATTTCGGTGGGCGTTAGTAATTTTCCTGTCTTTAGTACTAAAGAGTAACCTTCGCCTATCACTATTGCTATGAATGGCGTCTCGGTCGTACGGGTGTTGGTTAAGCTTACTTCATTAATTCTTTTGACATCTTTGTTTATTTCCGAGTTTAGAATTTATCAACTTGTTTTTAAAATTCCTTTTTCGACTTTACAAACAACACATAGCCTGTCGTGCCTTGGCCGACTTCTAGGACTTTGCGATTTCGAATGATATCTCAGACACTCTTTGGCTATTTTGTGTTTTCTTTACAATTATCATAAATCGTCAAAAAGCTTGTCATCTGGCCTTTCTGCGAATTTATCGTTGACGCAAATCCTCGGTTTTTTCTTGAAAAGTAAAAATAAAATCTTTCCATTTGAACGACATATTTCTCGGAACATCTTCCCAATTAAAAATTCTTACAATCAACATATGGCCTCATCTTGGTCGACTTTTTAAAATCTTGCAATTTCAAATGATATCTTGTTCTTGCTTTTTTTCTTTAACCAGTACTTTTACAAACATCATTAATCAATTGTCAAAAAAAGCTCGCATATGGCCTTTTGTGAGTCTACTGTTTACGCCAATTCTCGGGTCTCTGAGAAAAGTAACTTTTTTTTTAAAGTAAAAATAAAGTCTCAGAATTATCTTTCTTTTCCGTTCTCAGTATTTTCTTGTTTAATTTTTTATGGCTAACTAGTTAATCAATTACCATAGCTAAATAGTGTCACAGAAGAAAAAAATAATACAAATCAAATTAAATTCAGTTGCCAAAATACATCAAAGTATTTTGCTCATCAAAAATATTAAACTTATTAGCTTAGAATTGAAACTAATATAGAAGCTTCAAGAAAGTTTTTTTTCCTTTTTCAAATGCATTTTAAACATTAGCTTTGGGGGGTTGTTGTTTATTAGTTTGAACCGACCTAAAACATTTATTTATTGTTAAAAGTAAGTACCACCAAAATGCATAAACATTTTCTTGCACCGCTGTTTTTTTATAGTTGCCAAGAATCAGGCTATTATTCGATTCAAACAAAATTTTCATGACTTATTAAAAATTTATATTTTATGGAATAAAGAATTATATTAAAAAAAAAAACTTGGAGAAATATTATTGGGTATGTTCCACCCTACACACCTTTTCGATATTGCGTTTACTTTTTTAATTTGGGAGTTATTTGTCCAAATTTTTTTGTTATACGTATAAAAAAAACTTGAAGATTATATTTTTTAAAAAAAATTATACAATATCGAGTGTGAACATATATAAAATTTATCCTGCATCTTAAAAAAAACAATTCAATAAAAATCAAAAAATAATTTTGCGGGGAATTGTTTTGATGATCAAACTTAATTTAATAAAATACATTTTCTTTCGGATTCGACAGAAAAAATGTAAATTTATATTATTTTTTTAATTATTTGTAATTTTCAGTGCTATTTTGAAATTAAACCATTGCTATTATAAGAATCAAACATTTATTTTATTAATTGTTGACCTGTGTGAAGATAGCCTAAAATATCATTTTCGACAAATGAACCTACATTTTTTTTAAGCAAGCTTTAATTTTCCCTTTAATTTTTGCAAAAAGTTTAAATTATCTTCATTAAATGAAAATTTATCAGACAGTTTGAGTGTTAAAAGATCATATTGGGAGAATATTAGAAAACCATTATATGAGGTGAGATAACAATCAGGCAATATAGACCATACAGAGAAAAGGAAACAACTCCCTTTCTTGAACATGGTCAGAAGCATATTGGAAAATACTAAATTTATGATGTTACAAAAATGAATACATAAACAAACTGTTGTAATGATAATTCCTCATCGGAAAACTTCTAACAAAAATTATAAACAAACCAAGTGGTGAAGCCAATGTTCAAGAAAAATGATTTGATAGTAAAAATTTTCCACATGAGGCATCATCAACATCAGGCCATATAAAGAACTCTAGCACTAATTCTGTTAACTTATTAATGCCCTGTTTCCTACTGTCAGGGAGTCAATATTAATTCCCTGATGATAAGAGAGAGTTTCCTTTCAAATTTATGTTCTATCATTAAACTAAATTTCAAAACCCAATCCCACATATTTGTTAAACAATTGGCTTCTTTTTAAAGAGTAGAAGAAATATACAGAAATTTACAAGAAGACCAAAGAACATAGCTGAAATGTGTTGCAAAATGAAATACTAAAAATATGTGGAATAATCTATTCATTACTGTTAAAAAGGTTTGAAAGTTCTATTCATAACAAGAGATAAATTAATGATTCACTTTTCAGTTTTCAATGATATTAAAAAGAAAAATCTAAACAACTATTCCCATAATTCATATGAATATCAATTGTTGTTTACCACTATAATTCCAAGACAGTAAATGCTATAAGTATTAATTTTAAACAAAGCATACAAGTAAAAAAAATTAAATAAAAAAATTAAAAAAAAACAATACTTGGAACTTACCTGGCAGTGGTTCACCATATAGACCCTCAAATAAAGTGACAAAGACATTGGTATTGATATCTTCTAATGATTCCACATATATCGGAACATGCAACTGCACCAGAAGACTATTTGCTACTTCAACCAATCCTGTAAATGAAGGAATAACATATTAAAATTCAATAAGAGTGTGTGTATGTATGGATGTGTGTAAGGTTTTATGTATACGTGTTTGTTTAAATAATATGTGTATGTCTATGTGTATATATGTATATGTATGCATGATTGTATGTGTATTTACATATATATGTGCACATGTATATATATGTATGTGCGAGTAGGTATAGATATGTTGTTGTGTATGTATGTATCTACGTATGTTTTTTTGGCATATAAATAGCAGGTTCTTACTAGATTAAATATACATTAATTTTTATGTTTTTGTTAAATTAAGGTGATATTACTTGCTTTATCAAATTCTCTTGATTACACATCAGTTCTCTTATTAATGCCCTTGTTTTAAAAAAAAAAAACATTTTTTTTTATAGAAGTCTCTGTCATCTGGATTTCAAAATTTTTTTGTTGAAAAATTTGTCAGCAAAATGTAAAAAACATTTTAAATGTTTTCTGTTGTTTAATTTTAGATTTCAGCAAATCGGTAGTGAATTATAATTATATAATTATTGATGAATTTGTCCTTTAATAATGTCATCAAATCATTTGTCTACATTAAACATAAAATGGAAAACGAACAGAATGAATAAAAATAAAGAATCATGGAAGATTGTTAGAAAAACATCTAAAAATAAATTATTTAAAGTGAATGCTCCATAAAATCTAACATAAAAAAATTATAAAAATAAGAATTATATAAATATTACATATAAAGGATACAGATTATATATAATCCCCGGACAAAATTTAATTCTTGTTTAATTTAATTTTTAAAATGAAGTAATATATAATGACAGGGGTGTTTAAAAAAATGTATAATTTAAATCGATTTATTACAAAATTACTGAAATTGATAAACACAAGCTCATAAATATATATATATATATAGAATATATATTTAAAATATATATGGTCATATTTATGTGTAAATATATATATATATATATATATATTTATATTTATATATATATATGTATATATATTATATATAATATATATCAGTGATATACATATATTTATACATTTTCATAATGTATAATATATATATATATATATATAAATATATATATATATATATATATATATATATATATATATGCATGTTTCATTAAAACGACAGACAAGGTACTACGGTTATATTTTTATTTAATTTTTTCTTGTGTTAACAAAGCTTTCTTTTCTGGACAAAGTGTAAGAACTGTCCAAATGTTTTATATTTCCGATATTTTGTTTATACCTTTAGCCATTATCAAGGATGATTCGATATCAGCTTAATAGATATATATGTTATGTGTATGTTTTAGTGTGTGGTAGGGATGTTTTTAATTTGGAATACGGTTAGCACATTGTGGTTTTGTTCATAGTTAATATTGTTAAGAGTTGGCTTTTTCTTTTTTATTATATGGAATATTCCATTATTTTTAGTTTTTTTTGAAAGTGGATGCAGTTAATATATTTGTGTTTTTAACTAGTAGATTTTAATTTAAGACTTTCTAATTTGCATTGTCAGGTTTAAATATTTCTGTAAATCTTAATAATATGATATAGTATATTTAAAGACGTTTGGATATAGGTAAATATATATATATATATATATATATATAAATATTTATAATGGAATGTTGTCTTTAAAACAATTAAATCTGTTAAAAAGAAAATACCATAAAATAAAAATATAATATTCCATAATATAAATATCATATATATATTGTGTTTGTATATAATTATTGATATATAAAAAACTCTAGAAACAATATACATATTTAAATATGATATTTGTTTCATAAATTTTCAAAATTAAAAATAGAGAAACATTAAAAAAGGATCTCCTTATAAATTGTTTTTATAATTTGTTTTTAATTTAAATTTTAAAATCAAACAAATAAACATATAAATTTATATATAATATATATATATTTATTTTTAAATATTTTTCAAATATATATATATTTTATAATTAATAAAGCAGTAAATTTGACATTTTTCAATATAAATTTGTTATTAAATAAAAAAATTGGACATTTACAATCATATAAAAAAATAACATATATAAACAAATATAAATGTGATTTATCAAAATATAATCCAAAATTTTAAAGTAGCATTTTTATCACACTGTTTATATATTTTATTTATATATATACATATTCATATATTGTTACCACAAATATATACTTATGTTTATATTTACAAACATATATATAAAATTTTTAAATAAGGGGATCCCAATTTATTACAAATATATAACCTTTTATATATACTTAAATTCATTCATATTGTGTCTGATATATATAAATATATTTACATATAAATATTTCTATGCGAAAAAAATTTATATATATATATAAATTATATGCATAATTCAAATAAACATTCATCGTTGGGATAATTTAACATGCATAAAAACGAAAATAATAATTTTACGGTTTTCAATTTAAATATCCATGATATATAATAAATATGGACATTTTATGCCTTATAAAACATATATATATATATATGCAAATAAATTATATAATGAAAATTTTAAATATATTTGATGAAATGGATATATAAATAATATGCTTTTCTTTTTATTCTAATGCTTTGACTTTCAGAATTCCTGTCCTTTTATTTTTTCCTTTATTATTTCATGAAACATGATTAAATTATTTTTAACAATATATCTATTCAGATCTGTCTAAATATTAAAATATGCTCATTTTAATCAAATAATGATCATTATCCTAAATATATATGAAATATATATATATATATATTAAATATATATATATTCTTTTTTCTTGTTCCATATAGAAAAATTAACTTATATTTTTTTAAAATCATCAGCAAGTTCTAAGGGTTTTATAACATTTAAGAAATTTTTTTTTTAAAAAAGATACATTTATTTCAATTTTGATGTCCTCTGACTGAAATTTTGCTATATATAGATACTCATTTTTATATACGGTGTTATCATTATTAAATAGTTTATTTATTTCAAAATTTATAATAAAATTTTTCAAAAAAAAAATTATTCATATGCATGTGAACTTTAAAATATAAATTTTAAAATAATTTTTTAAAAATATTTCTGAGAAAATCAGAATAAAAAATAAATTTTTGCTTCATGTAAAAAAAAAGTCATAATTTAAACTTTTTAAAAACTTAAAATTTGACTTGAAGAAAAGATTTTCATTTTTTTGATATAATTTATTAATCAATGGAATTAGCAAAAAAATTTAGTTTTAAATTTATTACTGATACACAATTCTTATATATATATATATATATATATATATATATATATATATATATATAAATAAATATATATATATATATATATATATATATATTAAAAAGAAGAGTGCCGCAAACGTTTTTGGTTGTAATGTGGATTTATTTGAAAAAAATATTATACTTTGTTTTACATAATTTTACGACACGTGTTTCTGGTCTGGTCTCGCAACCGTCTTCAGGTAAAAGTGGAGATTTTTACATATTATTAAAAATAATTAATTTTTTTCTTCATGTTCAATGTAAATATTCTCGATATGAGACATTTCTGTTTTTGTGTTGGTAATCCGAATTTTCTTTCTAGAATTGTCAATGAAGAGTTCTGCGTGAAGGGGTCATAAAACAATTAAGGTTTGTCCAGCGAAATGATGAAGTTATCGGCATTTAATCTTTTAATGTTTTAGTGACCTCTATGTGCTCTTGGATCTGTTTCTATTTTGGTGTGTTCCTGTCAGCATGCGTGTATATATGCGTGTATATCCATACATTACTGTCTTACGAGGAATTCGTAAACTTATTTGTACTTATACACGCATACACACACATACGCACATACACACTATCCCACCACAAGTAATCAGTACACACACACATATACACACATATCCCCCATTGAGTTGTACACATATACAAACACACACACACACACACATACACACACAGACACACACACACACACACACACATACTTTTTAAGTTTTGTCAACATCCGCATATACATACATAAATGTATGTATGTGTATATACATATATATATATCTCCTCGTGTCTCCCGTATATGAGTGTGCGTCCATGTATGTGCGATGATGATTGTTTTGGTCACCCTGTGTTCATTTTATTTTTTTTTTTTTTTTTTGTGGGGGGGTTACGATCTATTCAGTTCGGGTTTGAATTTGTCTATAAAGTTTTTTTTTCCTGTATTTGTAGATACGAGTAATTGTCTGTTTGATATATCGGCATGATATTAAACTTACCCTGGTTACATTTGAAAATGTGTTGTGATACAAAAAGTTTTCTGTTGTCTGTCAATTTTATATTGCTTTTTTGTAGTAAAGACCCTGTTGTTCAGTTGTTGGCTGATGCCTATATATGACTTCTGCCTCATTTTTTGTGCATTTAAGTGCATAAACTACATTTTTGGAGTTGCAGTTTAAGTTTTTTGTTTATTGTGAATTTTTTTTGGGTTTTCAAAAAGTGTAGGAGTTTCCTTCTATAATGATGTCACAAACTCCACATTCTTTTTTTTGTTGCATTTTATGACTCCCTGTATTTTGTGTTGACTAAATTTAGATGAGGTTAATATGTGTTTTAGGTTTCTAGATTGGCGTTTGCTCTTAATTATTTTGGTTGTTTTTAGTATATTATTCAGTTTATTATTCTTGCTAAGTAAATCTAGATTTTTTTGTGATTTCTGGGAATATTTCTGGGTTGTTTTTGTTGTACGTTGAGACATATGCTAGAGTTTGTTCGACGTTACGTTTTTTTTATTTCTAAGTTGGTCTAGAGGAATTTCTTTCTTGAGTTCAATACCTTTGTTTATTAGTGTTGTGGGGTAGCCTCGTTTCTTGAGAGTTTTATGTAGTTCTTCTAAGCGGATTTTTCGGAGATGTTTATCAGTCACTATTGTACAAATTCTAAAAAAGGGAATAGGGGATGGATTTTAGGCAGCTTTTTGGGTGATGGCTCTTGAAATGAACGTA